TTACGGTACCCGTTACATTTTTTCCTGTCACCTCCCTAGTAAGTAAAACATTTGTGCCTCTCGGAATTGTTTTGCACGCGCACTACGCCGTCTGCAGGTACATGTTTACAGCTGGATTTCAGTATAATTTTCGACAGGTAACAGCTAGTTTTTATCTGGAAGCCGTGAACAGTTAGTGGTTAGCGATACGCTGCTATTCTGGTTTTCCTGGGTTTAGTACATGTTCACATGTACTAAAACATGTACTGTTCACATGTCACAGTAGGAAAATTTTATCTCGTCATCACCGCCCCAAGGCTCCCATGAGATCGCTAGACACATGCCCATAACCAGTGCTTTTCGCGCGCAAATCGGTTTAACACGGTGACTATTTACGCGAAGAAAATCCTCCATTTCTACTTTCACGTTTGTTCGAAGGAAGATCACTGGTTGAAAACACCTATAATGACTACACCTGATTTGGAACCCGATGTTCAGTGCACGAACGGTGCCGTGGATCAATCTTCACAGAACAGCATAGCGGTGATCCTCAAAGGTCTTAACAACACTTTGGTACAATTGATCAAAGCTTCAGAAACGTAGACGGCGACGCTCACCAGTCTTAAAGAAGACGTTCTCCTTCGTCCTGAATCAGACGAGGAGGCAGAAAAGGAAGACTCGAACACGAGCAATGCACAATGTGGTATACTGGGAACTAGCCTACATCCGGGAACCACATGTAAACGTTGTTGTTGATTAAAGCATGGCGGTTGTGCTGTGATTGCTGACTTCGTGTCGTTTTATTTCGATTACAAACACTTCACACAACTAAATTTTTCTGCCACTTTAAATACTGTGCTCGACCCGAGCGACTCTCACGTGGCGAAGAAATCGGCTTGCTCTGACTCAGAGAAGCATTGCCTTTGTGGCCAATGCCAATCATAAACTTAATATGAAACGACGAGAGCTGATTAAGCCCGACCTCAACCCCCCTTACACAAGGTTATGCAAAGAGGACATTAAGCCCTCTACAAAGCTGTTTGGGAATGACTTATCAAAACATCTAAACGATATGGCCGAAGCACAGAAGCCAGGCCGGCAGATGTAGAGAAACTCTGACACTCGCACACCCAGCTATAACTACCTGAAGGCTGGGAGGCAGAAAACATCCCGCCCACGCCCTTTTTAGTGCAGAGTGCACTATTGGGATGGTTTAGGGGGTTGCTGTTCGCTAAGGCACTAATGTAATAAGGCCCTAACACAATAAGGTGCAAACTTTAATGTTTGTTTAATTAATTACTTTCAATTAATCAATTAGCCTTGTAGGAAGGGGAGCTGGGTGGGGTAGGTACCTGAGCGCATTTCGCAAAAACATGTCATATTACGTTGCTTTCTTTGATAACATGACAAAAATATATATGGTTTTGCAAATCTTATGCTATCCTTGTGGTGCCATTCTCTTAAGAACAAAAGCAATTTGCTCCAAACGCATGTGCAAATTAGTTAGGGTCAAAGTCGACTATATGTTAGGTGAAAGACACAATTCATACGGGACTACCCACGAAAGTTGAGTGCTTTCCCTTGTGGTAGAACATAACATGTAAGACGCATGCGTTCTAGCATTGCCAGTGTGATAAACTCCGTTCTCGAGTTCAGTCAGAGGCACGCTTTTTTTGAGTTATTTTTTTGTAAAGAAAAGATACCTCTTAGTCGGCGCGTCGGGTATGTTATGGACGGGTCAATGGATGAGTGAGTGAGAGAGTGAGTGAGTAAGTGAGAGATGTATGTATGTCACACCAATCAGATTGGATCTACTATAAACAGCCAATCAACTTTCTTGTTGTAAAGGGGAATATTTCAAAATATCATAACTTTAAAAAATACATTTATTTTCCAAACTCAATCATGTTAGTAGTGTTAGTGTCTAATGAATACCTGCCAAGAGATAGTTATACATCCCTGCAAATATTCTGGGAGTCTCCCACATACTATTTAGACCATCCAGTTCTCCAGAATTCACAAAACGCACAATGTTCAACAAACTTGTAATTTCGCTTCCATGCAGGCTCAGTTATCCGAGCTACAGAAAATGTTTTGTCAACTAAGCGAATCAATGAATGTAAATAAAGACAGAGTTGAACCTTACACTGGTGTGTCTTTCTTTGACTCTAAATCTACTCACCCCAAACGATACGTTCCAACGAGTCACAAAAAACGCTCCCTCAGACGAAACAGTCTCAATAAACTCTTAACCCATAACACTAGAGCGCAAAACAAAAGATACATTAAGAATCTTTCAAACCAAGCTCTTTCAAACGACGAGGTTAAACTTCTTTCGAGAGGCCTTAAATTTATACCAACCCCTCCAGTTCCTAGCTCAAACAAATCCTTGTTAANTAAGAATCTTTCAAACCAAGCTCTTTCAAACGACGAGGTTAAACTTCTTTCGAGAGGCCTTAAATTTATAACAACCCCTCCAGTTCCTAGCTCAAACAAATCCTTGTTAAAGGATTTCGATATTTTTGCTGGAGCAATACGCTTAAAATACATGTTCGTAAAATAAGCGGAAAACTTCTGCCCATCCCTTCCATGTCAAGTCAACCTGGGAACCACCTATTCAAAACTCGGTTGCTCTAGAAAATTACTTGGAAGAAACCAAACTCGAACTTGCTTCAGCAGTTTTCCTCCCTCAAATTGATAACATTTCAGCGAACGAAAGAAATGCTATTAGCGCACTAAAACGCAACAGCAAAATTAACCTTAAAAAAGCTGATAAGGGAACAACAACGGTCATCCTCGACACTGCAAAAAAGATAGATGAAGGCTTACAACAATTATCTGATGATAGGTGTTACAAGCCTCTTCCACTTCCCATTGTGTAAGACACCGCCCGAAAGGTAAAAGAAATGGTTAATAAACTACACCGTTCGGGACACATCGACCTAATGACCCACACATGGTTA